ATAAAATCTATGGGAGCAACTGAAAAGGCTTTATTTGGTCACTTGTGTGACGTTTAGATCAACCACCACGATCTAATAATAAAAGATGAACATCTATGTCCTTTGCATTCTGAGTACTTTGTCATCTACTGTGCACTGAGCATTATTTTTCTGAATAGACAGAGGTAAAAGGAAGAGGAACTGGAAACAGACTATTTTGGAAGAAAATTCATTTTACTCCCTGTGTAATCACACAGAAGGAAATAGGAGAATTCACTCTCCCCCTCCCCTCCCCCACTGATTCGAGTGTACTCAGTTTCACCCAAGACATAATCTCAAGAAATCTGTTGTGTAGCTGTCATTGAAGACCATCTCCTGCAATTCTGTTGGCTGCAGTTGTCATTCCTATGTATGTCTGAATCTGGTTTTGCTCTCAGATCTTTCACATCACTGTGTGTCCAGCAGCCTTTGCTAACTAGAGTGAATAATCAAGAACACATCAGGGTTGAGGTGAAGTTCTCCTGTAGATCTTGATGTCTTTACTACTTGAAAATCAGCTGCTAAAAACATTGTATTAAAGAGTGGAAAGTTCTATCTGTAGAATTAGAATTCTTTATTTCCTAGGCTTAGACTGTTGGAGAATAGGAAATAGTTTTCTTGAGGATGTGGGCAAGCAAATTTGTGAAACAAGGGAATTTCTGAATGCTGTGATTTATCTGCAAGTACATAGACTTTAATTTGAGCAAAGTTCATGCTGGCACCAAGGATGCCAAAGCCTACTGTGCCAGGTGATGTAAAGCAACCAGTTGTGTGTGCCCAGGTGGCCACGTAGGCCAACAGCATCCTGGCTTATGTCAGAGATAGTGCAGCCAGTAGGAGCAGGAGGTGATAGTTCTTCTGTACTCAGCTCTGGTTAGGCTGCACCATGTTTATCGTGTTCGGTTTTGGGCCCCTCACTGCAAGCAAGACATTAAGACACTGGAGCGTGTTCAGAGAAGGACAACAAAGCTGTGAAGGGTCTGGAACACAAGTCTTATAGGCGAGGCTCAGAAGGGAGACCTTATTGCTCTCTACACCTCACTGAAAGGTGATAGTGAGGTGGTAGTGACATGGGGGTTGGCATCTTCTCCCATGTAACAGCAACAGGACAAGGTAACTATATTTACTTTCTTTTTGAGTGTGAGTCAAACTGATGATGTCCCAGGCTACAAAAACCATGGGCAGAAGGATTTCTGACTGTAACACCTGCCTCTGCACTTAGCCTTTTAATAAGGGCATTTGGGCTCCAAAAGCAGTTTGGACTGTTGCATCAGGAGTGAAATAATTTCATTATTCACTATCAAATAGCTGGGAAAATGTTGGGGGGGAATATAAAGTTATTAGCTGAAAATCTCAAATCTGGGAATTTGAATTGCGCTGGAAACTGACTGAAATATAGCTGTGTTGATGTGTGTAGAATGAACTTGATTTTGCATTCTCTTAAAATATGAAAATGTGGGGAAAGAGGACATAAAAATATTTGCACACAAAATGCTTTCAATGTGATTTATATGACACAAATCCAAGCTGCTAGTGCATTTTTTTTCTTTCTGCATTCTAAGGTCGCATGTGTCTAAGATGAAGAAATTCTTCTAACTCTACTTTTTGAAACAATGTTCTGCAGCACAATTAGCTGCATTGACAGGGATACGGAACTGCTGTATGTGGGAACATGGAAAGCTGTTTGTTTGAGAAATACACACAAAGAAGTTTTTGCCTTTCCACATACTTTCTATTTTGAGCATGCTCAGTGGGAATAAATTTGTATTGCCATCTTTTACATACATGTAGGTTTTGCAAGCCAGCAGGAAGTTATTAATCTATCGCTTTCTGTTAAGATGACAGTGATGTTTAGATCCAGAACTCAAGTAGAATGTGCATCACAATTGGATGCGGCTGGATAACAGTCCCAGAAGCTTCTTTATGATATGTGATGGATCTATAAGACAATTGTTTCAGGGCACTTTTGTGTATATTGTTAATATGATGCATGATGACGTGACCAATTATAGTAAGCTAATGTTCAAACAGCATGTCACAACCTGTGTATCAATGTATTAGATCTCTTCTTTCAACAAACAAATGAAACCTAGAGCAAGATGAGTTGAAGTCGTTGACCTCATAAAAGGTCAAAATCCCTTTATACTGACCTCCCTACTACGACATAATTATTAGAACGTTATTCAAATCTGTGAGGGGAAGAATTAGCTTTAATCTTTAAAAGTGTGATTTGATTTGTCAGAAAAAAGCTTGTTGTAAATTTCCAGAGGTGGAAAATTTAATCCATAGCAGAGTTAATGGTGCTAGAAGTGCTTCTGAATTCCTCTGTGCAGCTAGTTCAGTTCCCAAAATGCATTGCTGGGTTCAGGTGAGGAGGTGCCACTGTCCTGCTCTTTTCTTCACAGCCTGGGCTAGGAAAATTGGCAGTATAAATGCTCCCTTGGGCTGTGGCTGTGCAAATTTCCATCATTTCAGCAGTGAAAGGGAGAGTCCAACATGGGCCGTTGTCATTCCTGATGGCTGGAAAGTCTTTGAGGAGCACCAACTCTAGAAGGGGTTTGTAGTACCTCCCAGCACTGAGCAATGTGTTTTGAGGTCCTGCTATTACCTGCAGAAATGTACCTGCTTGATCTTCCTTGGCTAAGTGTCATAAAGAGTGGCTTTTTTCTACGGAAGTTCTTCTATCCTTGCTGCCACACTTACATGGGAGAGCATCTATAGTATAGCTGATGGAAACTGTGGTCTGCTCCCAAGGAAATTATTCAGATGTGGAACCAAAGTGCCTTACAGTTGCTTATCACACACCTGTTTCTGCAGGTGGTCAAACACAATGTGTGGGGCCAGCATTTGGGCAGCATGTGACAGCAATGAGGTGATCTTCCCACTTTGGAATACTTTGGACTCAGCATGGTCATTGTGGGTACTTTTATAGAGGATTTGTGAACCTACTGTTCTGTTGTGTGAGCAGAACCTGTTATGAGGTAACATAAGTTGAGAGGTAACCTTTCAGCAGAATAGTTTGAGTTAAAATAAAGGAATTGAAAAAGAGTACAATGACCAAAAAAATCTATAAAAATGCAATTGCACTAATATAATTTTATCACTTATTTAAAAATTTAGTCGACCCAAAAGACTACCAAGTGTGAAATTAAGGAACAGCTCCTCTACTTTTATGGAAATCACTCTTCTTCACTTGTCTAATAGCCTGATTTTGTCAGATCATTTATTTCCATGGTTTTAAAATGAGCTTGACAGACAGAATTTTATAACACCACTTTACTGCAAATAAGAACATCATTTTCGCTTATTAAAACTGAAGCTTAGAGAAAGCATTAAAATTAACAGTTCACTCTGCTTTAACCTTTTGAATACTACTGTGACTTTACACTCCACACTATGTGTAAGGAAAGACTTGGTGGCTGCTGGGTATGCACCCAGAGCTGAGCTCTGGAAGGGCCACTGGGCGAGAAGCTGCTCCAAATCTACTCATGCTCGCCTTGATAATTCTGTGAATGCAAACATTTAAAACACCACTGACAGAAATGAATACTTGCTCCAGTCAAGGTGACTTCAGGCATCAGAACAGTGCAGTGAAGAGAGGCAGTGAGTCAGTGTGTTATAGCAAACATGGTCTGAGATTATAGGCATGTATCTGCATATAGCAAACACCATAAAATGCAGCTTATTCTCCTAACAGATGTTTCACTTTCAGTATGGTTTTCCTTTCTGAGCAATGAAAACTTTGACTGATCTTGGAGGTCACTGACAGATGATGAGTTCTGTACTTCATAGCTGGCAGTAACTCAAACATCATGCCAATGGTGGTGAGATGCAACCTCCCCCCGCCTGGCTTATCTCCAGGGAGGAATGTCATCTTCGCAGCTACAGCTGGACCTTATCTGCTTTGGGGGGGTGTTTAATAATGACAGTTTAGATCAGGTTTTCCCATGCATGTTTGTCGGCCTTGTTTTGTTCTCAGTTGCATGCCTGGAGTTATTCATTGCCATCAGTTCTTGCCCCGGTGCTATGTTACTTTTGAAATCTAAATTGGTGGAAGAGTGGGAGTCCTAGGCAGGGCAGTGTTGCTGGGCTTACGCTGCTCCCTCTTAGCAAAGCTATCCTTCTGCTAGCAGTGGTTATTCCTTGAAGTTAATGATGATGATAAAAATAGATTTTCTTTCTTACATTGTCAACATTTTAGTAGATAACAAGGACAGATCTCTCCCAGGATCTTCACTGGAAAAACCGATTCAGACTGTGGCAAGGCATTCATACCCTTTCTCTGCCAGTCCATACAACCTAAAAATGCAGGCAGTAGTGCAAGAAGTGCAGCTGCCAGATTTTGTATCTCCATTCAAAAGCTTCTGTACATTGGCTTTTAGAGTTACCCATCTGCAGATCAGCAGAGAATAACAATCTTCTCTCCTGCCCCAGTGAGTTTTCCCAAGTTTCAAAACATGCAGTCTGGAGGGGAAAGGACCCGATGTCTGTCTTTTGTGTTTAAATTAAACAGGAGATTGAATAAGAGAATGCTTGCTTCTGGTTTTGACTACAGAGGTCATCCATCTTTAATCCAACCCTTCTTTTCCTCTTTCTGTTGTCTTGGCACAAGATTTTGGTAGACTTCATTTCCTGCCATCAAATATTCTGCAGTCTTGTTTCTGCGCAGAGCCTTTTTGCCTCTTTTCACTATAGCTGAAGTTTCATTTCATAGTTAAAAAGATTCCTATGCAAGCTAATAACTGCTTTTGAACCCTTTCAAATGAAAGATTTGCACGATGTCTCAGTATTATAAACATTGCATTGTCCTTCTTACAGCCTTTTGTTCTTGCTATAGCTTATAACTGTGAGAGAATGTGCTAGATGGAGAACAAGTAGCCCACAAATTTCTCCACCAGCACTTGCTACAAGTCCAGATTTAGTTTGAGTTCTAATTGCTGTATCCTTTTGGTGTGATTAAACCATCATTCCTTGCCTTTAAGGATCAATCCTCTGGACTGCAGGTTGAGAATCAAATTGCCTGCGTGCCCTGAAGTCTGAGAATCAAATGAAGAAGTTTACTGCATGGAGACTTCAAATTTTAACTTGAACTAAGTCTAAAAAATGACCAGAGAACTTTTTACTGTGGTAGGTAATTAATCTTCCATTCCTCTAAGAAGCACTGTACAAGAAAGGCTATACAGAATGCAGTAATGTATGGTTGTGTTACTGGAAAAGGTGCAGCCTTGCATCATCATCATAAATGAAAAAAGCCCCTCAGCAACCCTGACTGAAATTGAAGGTGATGGTACAGGAATATCTAACAGTCCAAGTTTATAGTTTGCCTGCAAAATTGATGTAAGATAAGGAAGAGAAATTTCTGTCAGGAATATTTGGGCAGCAAGTATGGAAATCACAGAATGGCTTAGGTTGGAAGAGACCTCAAAGATCATTGAGCTCCAACCCTCCTGCTGTGGGCAGGGTTGCCAGCCACCAGATCAGGCTGCCCAGGGCTCCATCCAACCTGGCCTTGGGCACCTCCAGGGATGGAGTATCCACAGCTTCTCTGGGCACCCTGTTCTGGTGCCTCACCTCCGTGCTGGCTGTCTTGAATTGCCTCCTCATCTCACGTATGCCTTAATATCTCTACCAGGTTTAGGATGGTGCAGAGAGAGTCCACCAAGAAGGGTGTACTACCAGTGCTGCAGGAGCCCTAATAGACAGAATGCACATCTCCCACGGACACAACAGCATGTGCTTCACTTAAGACCAAGATGTGTAAAGCATGTTCCAGTGTCTTCATTCAAGTGGAAGATGTGGATGCTGACGATGGTGCTGACCCATACTACTGCATCAAATATGTGAAGGAACACCTGAGAGACCCTGAGGTAGTACAAGCATTCAGACTTCAATACCTGTCAGGCCAAGAAATCAGTGGGACCATGCACACTATGCTAGTAGACTGGCTTGTGCAAATGCAAGTGAAATTCAGACTGTTTCAGGAGACACTCGAGCGTTGCTGTTAATAATCACTTTTTTCAGGATAATGCTGTGCTGAAGCTGGGTGGTATCACAGCTATGTTCATTATCAGGATTTATAAAGTTCAGGACATGATCAAAATATCTTTGTGTACTCATCTAAATATGCACAAGGATTTGCATTTATCTAATAGCTGTACAGTCAGTTTCTCTCAAGACAGGGTATTTTGAATTGAATAAGCCATCTTCCTCATCTTAGCACTTCTGCAGTTTCAAATTACCAAAGCAAAATATTGGTGGAAATTTTTTAATATTCGTGAAGTTAAGAATAATAAGATGAAAGAAGAATCCTGGAGGAGTTAATTACAACTTGCTTGTGTATTTCTTTTGCGAATTTCAGCGTGCAACTGAGTGCAAGTGAACACCTTCAGCTGAACCCCCCCCCATAAGGAAAACAAAACCACTGTCTGTTCAGGAACTAAACTTGGAAAGATGTACAGCAAGACTGGGGCAAGAAATAAATAATAAACAAACCAAAATATAGAAGAGTCTTCTGCACCCTCCTGAACCTGGAAGAGATGCTAAGACATATGAGTTTATTCCTCATTTAAATTTAAACTTTGTTATTGTAATCCCATTGTAATTTAAACTTTTAAATTATAGTTTCTGTGAAATTACATATTAGACATCTAAAAAGGACCACTGAGATAAGGTAAAGGTACCTTCTTGTGAGCCGTAGCTGTAATAGCCAATTTGCTGTCCAGCCAGTCTGTGTGCCAGAAAGTTCTGAATTAATATGTGCTGCAGATTTCTCCAACTTAAAATGTGGCAAATGGAGTAAGAAGTGAAGATAAGGCAGTGTTGGAATACCTTGCAATGTAGGTAAGCTTTTTATAATATGACACTGTCCTTCCAAAAGCTTGGGATTCAGACTCATGAATAAGAAATCTTAACATTTCTTCTTGCATCTGAAGTAAGGACTGGAAATCGGTGTGGTTTTTGTCTCAGAAGAAAGGCCTTCACGTTTCTGGCTTCCCCAGAAAACGTGTTAAAGCTGAGATTTTAAATTTAGTCACAGAAACTTGAAGGGCTCTGAGGAAGCATCAAGGCCGTCCTCCTGCCCTGGGGTGGTGTAACTGACTGCTTCTGTGTCACTCCCGGCAGATGCTTGTCTCATTTTTGTTTAAAAACATAATTTGGGGAAACTGTACAGTGTGTCCAGGAAATCTCTTCCTCCCGTGTTTCACCATTTTTGCCACACAAAAATGCACGCAACAGCTCTTTTTTAAGATCTTTTTTTCCTGTAACTTAAACCTGTTATTTCTTGCCCTTAGACCACCTTTGGATCCATTCCTCTTTTCTGCAGCCTTTAATGTGACTACAAGTTGTTATCATCTCAACGTAAACATACCTGACTGTTTCGTTTGCTGGCTTAAAGAAGCTGGCTAATTAACTTGCTAGATAATGGCTTTTTGATTTGTCATTACATCTAGATCTTTGCCACGTGGATCACAAAAGAGGTGCCATGAACCGGGATCATCTGGAGCCTTCCCACTGTTGAGCAGAAGAATTATTTTGTTTTTTCACCCTATGTTGTAGGGTGTCTGTGCTTTTATGCATCTGAGTGTGGCATTAAATATTATTTTTGCCCCCAAAACATTCTCAGATCTTTTCGTAGTTAAGCCAGCTCTTCCTGTAGCTCGACACAGTACCTTCTGGGTTGGATCTGTGCAAAAAGTTTTTAAAGGCCTTACTTTTATTTTAGCATTCAGGTCGCTAATGAGGGTGCTGCATGTTGTCGGATCCAGACCCCTGTGTGATGCCTCCTTTTCATTTTGATAGCGAAGCATTGATAACTACTATTAAGGCATGGTTTTCACCCAGCTTTGTGTCCCCCTATTACATTTCCATCAGCATTATGTGGGACATTGCATTAGAAATCAGGGACAAGTGATAGTTATTTAGGTGTGCTTGGGAGTTCAATGAGTATGGATGTATTAATATGCACTTGGATTTTCTGACTGTTCAGTGAATGGATGTACATTTTTATTGGTGCAGCTGGTGCTTTTTAAAAGTGATGCATAGAAATACACTTGCTAATGAAAATTGCTAAGACATCATAAAGAAATGGGTTATAGGGTTCAGAAAACCAAAAACGAAACTGAATCTAATTACCAAAGAGGAAGGTGTGCTGCTGTGAATTTGATTGAGATTTTATGTAAATCCCGTCCAGCTAGTCCACTCCAGCATTTGATTTAGAAGTCTAATGGGCAGTAAGGATGTGCAGAATGCAGATTGTGGGCAAGCTGCAAAGCAGCTGCTCTGGTGAGCTACTAGGTTAAGTGACTGATAGACTTCTGCTGAGGTTTCTGTCCACAGTGTCTGGCGTTGGGGATAATCAGAACACAGTGACCCAAAGCTCTGGGTTCACAGCAATCATTTTTGTATGGAAAGTAGAGTTCTAAATCCTACGGACACATCCTACTTCCCAGCACAAGCTGTCAAAAACAACAACAATCATCATAAATACAGAGGTAATAACTGTTACGCACCAGTCACTTTAAGCACTCCGTAGTTTCCCAGGCTTTAAAGTAGTGGTGGTCTGTTCCAAAATTTAAGTTTATGAAGGTAAGGTCTGTGCAGTCTGTAGTTCATTCCAGTGTTGAAGCTGTATCAGAAGGAAGTGATGCAGAGGTTTGCATTTGAACCAGTCCAGCAGACAGCACAGTGACCTGTTGTGCTTTCCATGTTGTTCCCTTTTCTGTGGTTTCCAAACCAAAGAATTCTAGATGTTCTGTACTCTTCAGTGAAATGTCTGAAATGAGGGGAAGAATTTCACCTGTAACATTGGATTATGTTTTTTTACTGTAACTCTTAACAGTCCCAGCTTGTAGTCTGCTTTCACAACCCAAGGACATCATGCAAGTTCTTTAAACTACACCACTAAGTGATGAAGCTGGCTCCTACAGTAGAAAATGTGCTTACTGAAAGGAAGGCTTAGCATAAGGGATGTAACTATAATTTGTGCCATAAGCTGTCCACATGTTTTTATACACCTCTAGAAACTTCACTGGCTTTTGCGAGCCTTCTTCCATTTCAGTATGAGCAGAATAAAAGTCACTTTGCTGTCCTACTCCTGCCCAAAGTCGGTTTAAACCGGAGGAATTTGGCTTAGATTGCAGTAGTGGTGTTAAGGCATACTGAGGCAAACCCTTTATTCATCAGTTCTGTGATGAGCGCTTCATGCATAGCACCATCTTTATCATTCCTCTCCATAATTCGATGTTAACATTTTCCCTTTCCTTGGTCTTTAAGATGTAAATAATCATCTGATTAAATATCTCTTGAGAAGATTATGCTATGGATAGAGGACTGTCAGTGCGCCCCTCACAATCAATGTTTCACTTGTTTATGTGATATATGTACACCTGTAGTAGTTGCCATTACCCTTGATTGCAGCGTGGGAGACTCCTAGCTTCAAACACAACCATGCAAAAATCTGTCTTTTTTTAAATAGTGCCTTTTTGCAAATGCAAAAGTGAGGAAGGGCACTGACTGTAGATAAACAAAGCCGCATTAATGCTGTGTGGGAAAGGTGGTAACAAGAATGTAACAGGGACTGAAATGGCTTTGGTCCTTCCAGTGCTACTAGCCTGTTAGCATTCTGGCTTAGAGAGAGCAGGTCTTGTTGGTTTACAAAACAAAACAAACAAACAAAAAAAAAACACAGCATTTTTTTTTTTCCTTAGAAATAAAATTCCTGTTATTTGTAATGCTAGATGCAACAACTTTCACTGCAGAATCAGATGTCTTTACTTACAAAATCTTACCTGAGGAATTAATTTGCATCAGCTTCCAAAAATGCTGCCTGTGGATTGAACATCCAGCTCGAAGCTGCACAGAGCAGAACAATAAAAGGCAATGTATCAAATGCAGAGAAGTTTCCTACTAATGTAATGCAGGGAATAGCGTTAGGGCCAGTGTTATTTAACATCCTCGTTAATGATCTGAAAGAGGAGAGTAAACAGCCGGTTAATGAAATTCACAGATGATACTAAATTGCAGACATTATAAATATCACTGAGGGCAGCGAAATAATAGAAAGGGAACTGAGATCAGAAACATGCCAAAGAAATAAGGAAAGGAATGTCAGCTGGGACAAATGTAAGGTAATGCCCTGGGGGAAAACGGAAGCAGCTCTGCTGTCTGGGAGGGGAAGCCTGACAAGCAGGATCAGAGACAGATTTCAAAGGCACCCCAATTCTGCAGCACAGCCTGGGACAGGCCAGGATCCAGCACTCCACAGCAGCTCTGCGCTACAGATACAGCACAGCATTAGCAGCCAGCTGCTCTGCACCGGAGCGGGGAGAGGCTGGTGTTGAGCTAGTATGATGCCTCCACCACAGCCGAGGGCTGCCCTCCTCCTGGGAATCCTCTGCTGGTTGTACATTGGCTGTGGGGCTGCTTTGTGTTGGCACTGAGAAGCAGAGCAGCTTTAGAGGCTGAGAATGGGACCTGACGGATGAAGAAAGGCAGCACGTGGAAAGAACGTCGAGGAGGAGGAGAAGGCAGCAATATGAAAATAAAACGTTATTCAGGATGGAAATTCTAGTGTGGATGTCAGGGGAAAAGCTCCTAGTGGTAAGGTGTAATTAATCTGCAGAATAGCCCTCTGACGGGGGTAGTGGAAACCTCACCACTTGGCAGCTTTAAGTACTGAATGGAGGGGAAATACTGAGAAAAATGAGAGGAAACAATCTCAAGTAGCAGAAGCGGGCTTAGGTGTGTGCTCAGCTGGCCTGCTTGGT